CATCATTTCAAAATAGTTAAAAATAATACAAATTTTGGCATCATAGAAAATATATGGATAAAATAATGTCATAATGAGACGAAAAATCCAATAAAGACAAGAACATATTGTAGCGAAACAAAGATTAATAGTGAATATATTGTTAACACTATGAAAGCGACGAATAAATATAATTGGAATTGAATAAATCAAAGCCAATAAAATAGTAAATGTAAGAAGAATGAGTAGGATAATATCCAAAATACCTATTTCAGTCATTATGTTTGATAAAATAAAAATTACAGAAAAAAGTAAATTGTATGAAAAGTTTTGTATACTATATTGAACAACCTAAGAATGAATAAATGCACATTAGCAGTCTTGAAAAGAGTGGTAATGAAGATGTGCTCATCAACTTCACAATTCTTATCACAGAAAAAAAGAAAGTGCGGTAAGTACATTTTTCTTCTATCTCGGTTTTTTTATGGCATGATGTAATCATCGAAGAAGGTATAAATAGACTCTTCATGAATAAGGTCATTGAACTGCATGTTTAGAGTAAAATGAGATTGATCACGTAACTTATAATTAAATGAAAAAGTTGAGAAATATAATATCTATATAGAATAAAGTAAAAGAGAAAGAGCATAATTTAGATGTGTAGTTTCCAATTCTCACTATTATATTCTTGAAAAACAGCCACCCTGATGGTTTCTATTTGCAAAGAAAAGTATTAGAGTAGTTTCATGAAAAAATAAAGAGAAATTGTTTTTAATTATGATGAATAGAAACATAATAAAGTTCTTTTTAATATGTCTCGTAATATATTTTACTGGAATATGCGTTAGTATATTAAATTTCAAGGTTACAACTCTCTCCAGTATGCACACCAAAGATTTTCAAGATAAAGTTGAATTAGAGATTATTCTACAATGTTTCATATCATATCAATATGTATATTTAATGATTTACTCTTGAGAAAGATCGTCTGTTATTATCTTGGGATGTTGTTTAGCAATGTAGATTTTTGGGTCGATATCTACGTCGAGTAAATGTTTAGGTAACGCAATCGCTTCTTCTACGGTGACGACATGTACATCACGATAACTGTGAAATAGTCATTAGTCATTTTTTACTTTTCGCCGAGAATCAGTTTCACAATGTAAGAAGGAAAAAAAAGAAACTTCTACCTTATCTGTTTTGATAAGAAGAACAAAAAGATGAGTATTTATTATTGTTGGAATAAACCATCTTGAGGGTACGTGTGGGTGTGGATAATCAAAGAATAAACACTCACACTCTTAGTTGAAAAGTCTATGTTTGAGAGAATATGTCGTCAGAATACATAAAATCATTTATCTTTTTATTTTTATTAATATTAAATTTAAATTAATAGAAAGAGAAGATAATTAATAATTATTTCAATGCGTAAATGATATGAATAGACGTGAAAAGTTGTTTAATAAAAATGTTAGAATTCACGACTATCCTCCTCTACTTCAGTCAATGTCGCAGTTGCCGGCTGCGGCAAAGCTGCTAGTTGAGGGTAGTGTTGAATAGCTGGCTGCTGCTGTTTTCTCATTTCTATAGCAGGTGGATGTTGTTGTCTTGATGAGAGTGGATCGGTAAAAGAACGCTCAACAAAAACGTGGCCAAGCGATTCAAGAGATTCTTGATGGAAAAGTGCTGGTAATTCCTGAATACTCGGATAAACACGCAATGTTTTCAGATGAACAACAGCACGACAAAGTAGTTCGGCTTGTTGTTGTTTTTCAGTGTAATCATCTTTTTCAAAATCCTTGTTATTGATCAAATTGAACCTAAGCGGTATAATCTTAGTCATTCCACTAACCAGTTTTTCACGTTCCTGAAGGTTTAAGCCACGTACAATGCTAGCTGAGTCAGGATTAACATATCTAAACGTAATACAAAAACATATTTAATATAGTGCGCAATCATCAAAGAATACATTCTTACTTGAAGTATTCGATTTCAATAGTAACAAGACGTTGGGCATATTGTATTTGTTTATTAGTGACGTTTTCGACATCATGCAAATGTTTCTTTTTAAAAAACTTTCCTTTATATTCAACTTCCTGTGTAGTATCAATTCGTTCCTCATGATGCACAGACTTTCGAAATTGACTCTTATAATTAATAGCAACAATATCTTCGACCGGAATAATGCATAGTTCCTCAGTGCATGTCATGTACTGTTCTATTCGTTTGATTCGATGTTTAGTGTTTAATGAAGCTTGCTGTTCTGTAATAGAAGCTTGTCCAGTTAGTTCACGAGTTTGATCGATATTATCCTCATCTTTATATAGATTAATGACGAATAATGGACTTGAATAGCCACTATTATCACCAGGCAATTTTAAACCTATAAAAAAATTTGACAATGTCTTACCAATGTTTCAATCGGGATATTTCAAATATTAATTTGTCAATGAAAATACTTACCACCGTGAATGCGTACATAACCGGATGGTAGATTTCCAAGATCTGTTTCATTGCCTAGCTGTTTCTCATTTGCCTTAATATTGCCTGCTGCCGATTCTAATGAAAACTGTTCTGATTGAACAGTTAACCTCTCTCCGTATGGCACTGCTTGTGGCACTGCTGAGTGGTAGGTTGGTACTGCCGAATGGTAGGTTGGTGCTGCTGGAATATAGGGTGATCTTGAATGTTTGGATGTAGAGGAATTACCCATTTCTTCTTTTTGTTTTTCTTATTTCTCTAACTAAAAATATAAAAGAAGAGGTAAGAGTCAGTTAAGGTAATAAGTTAATGGTTCTACGTATTTTAAAGGTAACTTTTATTCTTATTAGATAACAAATTCCGCGAAGAGAAACTTCATACAAGACACCTATTATACTAACTGATAAAGATCTTGGTTTTTATCAACAAATATTATTTTCTTTTGGTTTAGTGTACCACATAGACAGGTGAATAATGTTCCCTCATAAGAAAAAAGTCTTTTATCAACTGAGAGAGTTTTCATTTTGAAAACAGTGACGAAGAAGATGTGAAAACAAACCTTCTAGTTTCTTTAGAATAATCTTATAAAGTGTACGAATACGCTAGATTAAAAAAACTTCTATGAATTCGAATAAATATAATTATATTTTAGAATATTAAGATATATTATCTTATTATGCCGCGCAGACAAGACGAAAATCAAGTTGTCCATTACCATTATCAAGTTAAGACTGGTGCGGATAACAAAACACCGATTTCACATACTGAGATCAGTCAGAAGACACGAACTACAAAAAAATATAAATTAACACCTCCAGTTACTGAAGATGATGAAAAAAAAATCTATCCAGCTCGATACAATCTTGCTGTATGGAATTATAATCATGTGACATCTGATAAGCATAAGAAACGTATGTTAAGTCTATTTTTTTTAATGCGTCGTATACCATTTATAGTCGTTTTTTGTATTGTATGGATAGCTATTCTTTTTTCTCTTTGGTTCCAATATCTTATGATTTTATCGATTCTTGTTAGTGCTATCTATTTTATTTTTTCTTTGTATAATGTCATCATTTTTCTGCGTAATGGATCAATTGTTGATGATCCTCATTTAATATATGATAGTTATTTTCGTCATTTTGGTGAACATGATAGTCTTGATCAAATCGACCTCAGAGGTGAATGGGTGCCTATAGACGGTGATCAAACTATTTTTCACGATGATCTTATTCCACATATGGAAGAGATCAATGACTTACAACAACAGCATAATAACAAAGATAGATTTGAAATACTTTTCTATTCGTTACATTACCTGGAAAATTTTGTACATTTTCCAAAACAAATTCTAATACATGGAATTATCGCTTTGATTACACTTCTTGTAGCAATTGTAATACCTGTGGTTTTTCATTGTTCATGGTCTAAAAATCCTGACAAAAACAATCAAATCTGTTATATGGCTTAAAAATAGTCTTTTTCTTTCTGAGGAGCGTAAAATTTATTGTAATAAAACTTTGTTTTAATTAAGAATCGAATAAAGTAACTTAGGCATCCAGATTTTAAGTCAAATTTCATAAATAATGGTATGAAAAATAAAAATTAAGTTATGGACCTTTAGTGTAAATGTTAGTGTGGTACACATATGGGTGAAAGATAAATATGCAAACCCACATCCTTACCTTGTAAACAAACAAATCATTTACTCGAAGATAAATTTAATGAAATTTTTTTCTCGAAATATTCATATAGCAGCTGTCTAAATTGTTGAAATGTTATTTAATGTTAAAAGATTTAAAAACGAACCGAATCAATGTTTATTAGAACAATTGAGTTTTCTATTAAAATAATATAGTGATCAAGAAATACAAGGGTGTGGGTGTGGATATAGATAAAGAAGACAAAGCTACACTCACACCCATCCACATCCGAATTTGAAATAAATATTTATGGAGCACTTTACAATTATCTTTATTTGATAGACTTATCAAAAAGCGGTTCGTAACATATTTTCGATTATTGAAAAACAAAAACTAAATAAATTTATAATATTTAAGAGTCTAAATGTTCTGTTAATTTATTCCATAGTTCATCTTCTTTATGTACCATTCTTAATTTCACTCGATACACTCGTGAACGTATTTCATCAATCTCTCCAATACGAAATGTTGATCCCGTTGAAAATAAAATTTCTTCTTCGTTATCCATGATACTTTCAATTTTTGCATATGGTGTTGATCGAATATCAGTATTAATTAACATTTCAAAGATGACTGATACTTCATCTGGTGGCATTGTTTGTTCTCCATCACCAGAAAATACAATCGCCAGATTTTCATTCTGTGTTGCTGATACAAAACTATTCATTGAAATTAAACCGTCAAAGTTTTCTCTTAATTCATTAAGTTGAGCGACTTTCATTGGTAAACCTCGATATAAAATAATTTCTTTTTCTCCATTTAATGATTCAATAAAAGACAACTGTAATTCAGCTAATTGATTATGTAAATCATTAATAAAGTATCTCATTTTAACAATATCATTAATAATTTCAATACGAAGTGATGTATTTAATAAACGATAGAGAAAACTATCTTTTGAAAACCATTCAGCAGCATCTTCGGATCGATAGTTTCTTTCGAAATCATCGATTTGTTTTAACTGTGCTGGTTTATTTTCATATTTTGACCGAGCAAACTCTAAAAGTTCCTGTTTGGCATAAGGTGTTTGTTCTAATCTCAGAATAAAATCCAATAATAATTGAAAAGCAATAAATTGTTTATTTTCTTTCGATAAATGTCGAATAAAGATTTGTTCACCGTGGTGACTAAAAATACTTCTTTCATCAAACTCGACATCCCATTGATTATCTATATGTTTTAAATGAATATTCCAAATATTATTCTCATCTAATTCAACAGATTGAACTAATAGTGTTGAATTCATTGATAATAAAACTTCTTCTTCCTCCTTAAAATAACTTTGTTGAGAAATCTTTGCAAAAGGTGGTGTATTATTATTAATATTGTTGGAGTCTAGTTCAATTGTCATTACTACACTTTCTATATTGGGATCACGGCGTACACATTCAGCAAACATCAACGCAACCTGGCTATCTATAGAAGCCGAAAGAAATTGATTGCATCTTATTGAGTTACCAATAGCAGATTTGAGTTGTTGGATCTCTTTTATCGGCATCTCTTGGCTCCGATACACCAGGAAAGAACGATCATCGATGTCACGTTGATCTGACTGGAGTTTTCTTAATTCTAATATAAGATCTGTAATGAATAATCGGAGTTTAAATATATTGCTGATGTTTTTTTCTGTTCGGAGTGTTTGATTTAATAAATTATAAAGAAACGAAGCCCTGGTATACCAATGAATAGCTACAGTAGATTCGTAATAATCGATCAGGCGTTGTATATCGTATAACTGGCATCTGCTACCTTCAACAGAATTTCGGCAAAATTCGATAAATTCATCCTTGGCAATGTCTGTATGTTTGATATGTTGTAGAATCTTATGAAAAACTATCCACCAAAGAGTTTCAGCACTTGTTGAACCGATATTTTTAAATGTACTTTGTTCAGCATCATAATAACTATAAAATATATTACGACCATGTTGAAATTGTTGCCACATCACATTTATATCATCGAAAGTACCTTGTAATTTTGTTAGTGTATTTGAATAATTTCTATATTGTTGATCTTTATAATATATATAAATTGATTTTATTTGTGGATAATCATGAATGGATTGGATAAACGTAGTACCTAGAGGATTCGAGGCAAATAGATGAATTTCATTAACATCTGATGTTATATAATCAAAACATAAATCAATTTCGTCTTTATTAAATATTTTCATTTCAATAGTTGAATCAGATAACATCGATTGATTGACATCAATATCAAAAGTAACAAGATTAATCTTTTTGATTGAGTGTGTGTTGTTTTGATGACGAAAACGTGTGTATAATCTTGATCTCGAACTCATTTGATTTCTTATTAACGTTTAGATTTTATAATATACAATCTCCCAGTTTAATTTGTTGAGGAAAAAATAATAAAATAAAATTTAAAAGAGAATAATTGTTATAAATAAATGGAAATATATACAAAGAGTAGAAACAATTTTATTAAGAAAAATATTTTTTATTTTGAGAGTGGATGAGGGTATGGGTGTGAGTATGAAAATAGTATAACAACCACATCCTTTTCTTCTTCTTTCTTGCCTACATTTTCTTTTTTCTTCTTACTTGCCTTCTTTTTCTTTTTGATGTGAGGATTCGGAACGTCTTAGAAACTTGATAAAGAATTATAGTTTTTTGTTGTTCTTTCCCTATATATTCTTAGGATGACGGCAGATTAAAAGCTGAATGTGCAAACGATACATGAGAACGACGGTAGAAATCCACAGTCGCACAGTAAGACTATCGGTGTGAGGAAAAAAGATCAAAAGGAAAAATGTCGAAGAAAATGAGTTGAAGTATAGAATGGAAAAATATCAAAAGAGAAAACGCTGAAAAGAAAAATGTCGAAGAGAAAAAAATAATTAATCATTACAGATCAATGTAATACGATGATTGAATGATTGAAACAAACCTACTCTGATTTGCTCGGATCGCCAAATATGTTTCTTTGTTCAACTGATGTAGTCATGTAAATCCAAGCACTACTGACAAATGTTCATCATCATTGATTGATTTAGTTTTCGTTGATTCCTGTTGAGTGGTCATATTGTATTAATAGGATTTCGATAAAAAGAAACCAATAATTGAGGATTTAATAATGGAATTTTTTTATTTCAAATTTGACGACTTTGTTCTCTAATACGATTTTAGTTTTAAAGTCTTAAAAACCAAAAAAAGATGAGACAATGTCGATTGTAAACAGTTATGCTCATTTGTAAATTAATTTTTGTTTAAATACTCTAGAATTTGCACAAAATATACTTGTTCAATTAATAAAACCTGTTATAAATTCATAACGATTATTTCTTATTCATATTTTATTCGACATTTCTCCATTCGTCCTTTTTCATTCCAACATTTTTCATTCCGATTCTTTTCTCCGTCATTTCTCGTTTCAATCTTTTTCAGCCGTTCAGAGTATCAGCTACGGGATAATGGTATATTATTATAGTTAGGTTCTCGCATCACACTGATTATGCTCATTGGCTTCAGCGTGAGAATGAAGGTAAAAGTTAGTGTCACATGAAAGATATTGTGTCTTCAACGATGGGTAAGGGCGTGGGGTGTGAGCAAGGACTAATCTTTTCTTTATCCACACTGATATTCACCCACCCTCAACCGAGATACATCTGAAACTATATTGATAAGTATTATTGATTAAGCCAGTCACATTCTTCTACTCTCTCTTTTATTTGATCATTTCATTTTCTTTGTTCATATTATAAATTCAGTTAGATTTAGTTCTATAAAGACGAGCGGTATCAAAATTCATGGATTGAAGCAAAAAACATTTTAATTTTGCATGTTTCAGTATGATATACAATTTTTTTCTATCTTTCACACACGTGTTCCTTCTTACAGCGTCATTTTTTCTAATGATTATAAAGGTTCGTTGTCAATATTTATGTTTCTTTCTTTTCTTCCATTTCTGTTTCTTACACGTATATTTCGTCCCTGATACCTTTTTTTCTTTCTTGTCTTTTCACAACATAAAAAACAAAGTTGATATCTACTTGCTTCTTCCCCCCTTTTCAAACTACATCGATAGAATAACTAAATCATGCAGTAGAGCCATTCAACTACGATCTATTTTAGTCTACTTTCTTTTTTCGACAAATTACGTACAAAATATCTAAAAGCGACCGTTGACGTCACTTCCCAAAACCTTGTCATTGAATGAATCATTTTATTAATCATTTTGTTTTTTTATCTTAAGCTAATATTTACCAAAATATATTATTTTACAACAACCGTATATTGCCTTTTTCTTTATTCATCATAAGAATGCATCATACTGTTCGAATACGTGATTTATCACCGGTACCTGCAAGTCAAACCGGCCATCGGAAAGGACCATCGCAAGTATCCACCAACCATTGGATAGAAGCTGTGGACAAACTCTGTTTGAAATCGCCATCGGATCGTTACAAAGTTCAGTATTGGTCTGAGAACGGACCACACACACATGCTGACCATTCTGGTCATCCAGTATTTGAAGCCTTTTATACTGCCTATTGTAATCATGAAGATATCATTCTTTCACCTGATGATATCTGGCTTATGATTACTATCTACTATGCTAAATATGTCGATGAGAATGCTGAACAACTACGATCATTGTTTGTTGATCACGAAGGAAAGAAGACACTTGAAATCTTCATACCATCTGAAACACCTGAGTAAGCACTATACTATTAAAGCACTTAGTTGATATTCATTAATTTTTCTTTCGGTCAGCTGGCCTACGTTTCTTGAAGAAATGAAATCAAAAATTGGAGAAAATGTAAAGAATGATGTAGTGGAAGTTCTACAATCGGCTTATTCAACAACGGGTCAAGTCGAATCACTCTTGTCCTGTGCCTGTATTATGCATACATTCAAGAAATATTTTGATTATCGTCATATCTACTATGGATGTGGCATACGAAATGTACATTTTCTAGGCACCTTGGCTGATTGGCAACTTTTACGAAGCAAGGCAGAGAAACTCAAAAATTTTACGCTTCCAAGCAAGACTTCATCGAGCTATCAATACAACAGTTTTTCCGCTTACATTGATGGAGTATTGCCTATTTTAGATGAATTTATTCAAACCTATCAGGGTCAAGTTGACAATAAATTTTGGGATCAAATTTTTGATTATACACATGTGCAGAAGAGAGGTGGATCCGGGTTAGTTTTTCTCTAATTATAAGTCAAGTGATCAGTAAAATTTTGCATTACATACTTTTAGAATGATTTTAGGAGAAGTGCCAGGTATTCGTGGTTGGTTTCTTCGTTTATGCTGTGGATTTCACCACTCTGAAGCAAAAGTAGAAGCAGAGAAACTTCGACTGAATGCTATCTCGGTACCGGTTACTTTAATAAATCTTACCACTAAGCAAAAGTCTTCATGTTATGTCGCCGGCGGTTTCCATGGCGTTCATTCGCAAGATGGAAAACATAAACCTGTCATCAGCTTATCGGTTATCGAAGATACTAAACCACAAGAAGAACTCTCTTCTGATCTTTTGGATCTTTTAAACGATGCGATGGAATGATAGACTTTCATGTGATTTTATTTTTTACTTTTTATCATACAATATATCAAGAATAAATTCGGATGTGGATGGATAAGTTGTATCGTTTTTAGAGTGTGGATGTGAGCGGGTGCGGGTGTTGGTGTGGATATGGGTGTCCCTTATGGTTATAAAGAGTACACTCACACCCACCCTCAAGATTTATTATAAGAAAGAAACTTTTATAATAGAGGAAAATAAACATAGAAATCATGCGTATGTACCAATGGTCGTATCATTTCTAATCGTTGCACATTTGCACAATTACGTCGTGTTTCTTGTCTTGTAAAATTATTTGTGACAATTCTCAAATGATTATAGGTGACTATTAATTCAGTTAGACATGGTACATATGTCTTTGTTTCATCAAGAAATTGTTCAACGTAATCAATATTTCCACTTCTTACGTCAAGTACAGTAAGATGAGGATATTCAGCAATAAGATTTGAGTTATTATTCTTAGATAAACATGTATTCGTATTATTCGATGATTGTGATTCAAGATTGAAAACACGTAACGTTTTTAATAATGGAAAAGCTCGAGCAACCCGAATGAAAAATTCATGATTAAATGGAATAATATCTTGCACTAATAAATACGTGACATGATTGAATATAATATTTGGAAATAAGTTACCAATATCTTGAAGACGATGAAATGCAAAAGGAATTGAGAAAACTGAACAAACAGCTGTCCAGCTACTAATATAATTAATAATACTATTCACATGCTGGTTTTTAATATATATCGTAGATTGTTGAGCAACCATATTATGAAATAAATCAATAGTTTTATTATAAGTACTAATATAAAAAGTGAATAATTGAAGTGTTGGTATATAACTCAAAATTTCATTTTCAAGATGAGTTTTATCAATAAATGTACTTCGATTTTGTACGCGAAGGTATAATGTTAATTTTTCTAAATATTTCATACGACGAAGTAATGGTAAAATATTGGTATCATATGAGTTTATCAGATAATCATATTTGAATGAAAAATATTTGAATGTAGCTAACTCATCCTACATTATAAAGAAAAACAATATTGAGAATATTTCATATGTATTGTGTTGAAACTTACTATGTTACGAACGGTTGAAATATCATCCATATATGATATATGAACAATCAATGTAGTTAATTGTTTAAGTCGACCATCTAGTATATACAGACAATCATCGAATGAATAGACATTAATACATAAATAAGTAAGAGTTGAAGATAAGAGAGTAGTTGACGGCAAATTACAAAGTGTTACGGCTGGATATGAACAGTAATCTGTTCCATCAACGCTGAAATGTTTTAGATTTTTGAACAAATTGAATATCTGTCCATAAACATTTTTAGTATAATTTTCTGATGATCCTATTATATCTCTTGTATCATTATTTATAAGAATAAGTTGTGTAATTTGTTGTTGAAATATATTACGAAGAGATGATTCATCTAAAAGAAGAACAATATAACATCGTTTTTTTTCTTGTTATGTTATTGTATTTACCTGTAAAATATTGTAGAGCAATGTCTTGTTTAAACTTTACAATTTTCAATTGAGTTAAATTTGGATAATTAGCAGCAAAAAGAATACGTTCCATTGAATTTAATTCAACAATAAAATATTTTACATTATGACAAAGTCGTGGCAATATTTCGTTACAAATTTGATTAAACTTACAACAAGCATTGGGAGAATCATTTTTGATTGATGTAAAATCGAGAATATTACTGAAATTTTTTTCTTTACATAGAACGCCAAGTCGTTTGTTATGAATATTTAATAATGAATAATGAACATCAATATTGTTCAATTTTGCCAAAATTATAAGTAATATTTCGTCGGGTAAATCAAGAAAATGGACATTTGATCTGTTCATTTCTCGTCTGATTATGTTGTTTGACATAAAAATTAAGATATATATTTATATAGATATTCATTGTTAGAAGAGGATACATGAACTTTCAAAAAGGAAGGTCACCTTAATGAACTGTCCAGTTGAATCATAGACGTTGAACTTTTTTTATTCTTGTATAGATTTTTCCTGTTCAATGTTTGTCTTTTGTTTTTATGTAGACGAAAATGAAGGAGAAAAGGATGATCGTTATTGTGAATCTAGTTAAATAATATTTCCAAAGACAATGTGGCTAAAACAATGGTTCATATCTACGAGTGCTACTTAATCAGTGAAACAAAAAAAAACATTATTAAAATACGATGTAATGGTAAAATACTGAAATATTGTTTTTAAACTTGAAATGTCAAATCTTTCTAAAGAGAATATCAAGAATATTTCAAAGATATGTTTCATAGGAATAGAAACTTCTGTGAGATGTGTATAATTAAATTTACTGAGCAATGTATTACAATGCCACTGATAAATATTAGAAGTTCATATTTCAATTATTCGTCAGTATGATAACCATATTGTCATTGCTTATTTTGTAATAAATAATGAAAAGATGAATGTCCTAAGAACGTAAGGATATAATATTTAACAATCTTGAGGGTGTGGGTAGGATAGATAGCATACACCCACACCACTCACACTCGAACTTCATTGTTATTTGATATCTATCGATCAAATATAAGTTTCAGACCAGATTAATGCAGTAGAAATGATTAATACTTATTACAAAAAAACGTTTTCTTCTATTGCCAAAACGATCTAATAGAATTTTGAAAAAAAAATCGAAATGTCTCGTACTAGTTAGCGCAAACTCGCTGATTAGAAGTTGTAGTAAATAGAGAAATTTGTCCTCAATATTCGAACATGCTACACTGATTGCTATGAAGAAGAAAAAAAAACATACAACAATTAGGAGAAATGAATTGTACATCAACAAAGAAATTAAAAACGTTCTGTTTTGATGAATACTTCAAAAATAAACAAAATCGAGTTGTATATACTCGAAAAGTACCAGGTGTGATTTTAAAGTCTGTTAATACTAGCAAGTTTTCGTAAGAATATTTACATTGCCATATCCATTATTGGTGGCAACAATATCCATCAATCTATCATTATTGACATCACCGACGGCAAGTGCAAAGGGGTTTGATTTAAAACCAGTAGGAAATATCTGTTCCATGGCGAAACTTCCATTACCGAAACCTAGAAAAATACCAAGATTGTTTGCACCATAATTAGCTACAGCTATATCTAATAGAGTATCATTATTAAAATCTAATATAGCAACTGAATATGGTCGAGAAAGCACACCGGTAAAATAATTCATTTGCTTTGAAAAACTATTTGTGCCATTGCTAAGAAAAACACCGATATTATCACTACCAGAATTTGCAACAACAATATCCGATCGATTGTCCATATTAAAATCTCCAACAGCAACCCAACACGGTTGAGATCCATTTCCAGTCGAATATGTAATTGTTTGACTATTAAAAGTGCCATAACCTGATCCAAATATTATCATTATATTATCCATGCCAGTATTGGTGACGACGATATCTTTTTGAGTATCATTATCGAAATCTGCAATTGCGATAGAAGTCGGTTGAGAGGAAAGTCCAGTAGAATATGCCGGTGCATTTAAAAAACTTTCGTTAACATATCCAAAAAGTACACCTACACTATCAGAACCATAGTTAGCGATAATAACATCTAATCGACTGTCATTATTAAAATCAGCAATAGCTAAATGATAGGGTTCAGAATTATCACCAGTGGAATAGAGCAATTGACTGAAAAAAGTGCCATTCACACATCCAAGAAGAACACCTAAGTATCCATTACCATAATTAGCAGTGACTATATCCATTTGATTGTCATTGTTAAAATCACCGGCAGCGATCCATGAAGGAGCAGAATTATTACCCGTAGACAATGTAATTTGTTGAGAAAAAGTATGATTACTATTTCCAAAAAAGATACCTATATTATCCGTTCCAGAGTTAGCAACAGCGATATCTAGACGATGATCATTGTTAAAATCAGCAACAATAACCGAATCTGGATGTGAGCCACTACCAGTGGAATAATTTCCTTGAATTGAAAATGTATCATTGATACTTCCATAAAAAATACACATATTAGCAGTTGCATAATTAACAACGACAATATCCAGTCGATTATCTTCATTGAAATCAGCAATAGCAACTGATATTGGATAAGAATTGGTTCCTGTTGGATATAAACTAACGTTGGAAAAAGTTCCATCACCGTTTCCATAAAAAATACCTATGTTATGTGACAATTCAAGAGCAACAATGATATCTAAGCAATTGTCTTTATTCAAATCAGCAAAAGTGACATCAGCTGGACCAGAATTAGATCCAGTTGCGTAAGTTGTCTGATTCGAAAAGTTACCATGACCATATCCAAGGAAAACACCAATATTACCTGAATAATAATTTGCGACAACAATATCTAAGTAGCTATCATTGTTTAAATCAACAACGATAGTGGGCTGTGGACTCGATCCGATACCAGTTGAATAAGAAGCTACTTGACTGGAGAAAGTACCGTTGCCTAACCCTAGAAAAATACCTATAGTGTTGATACCACTGTTGGCAACAACGAAATCTATCCAACCATCATTGTTAAAATCACCTGCAGATACGGATTGTGGAGTAGAATGAGTTCCAGTGAAATGTGATATTTGTTTTTTAAATGCTCCAATATCATATTTCAAAAATGTAAATATATTATTAGTGCCAGAATTAACAACAACAATATCAGGTTTTCTATCATTGTTAAAATCGTTAATGGCTAATGATTGTGGAATAGAACCGAATCCTGTAGAATAGATCTCAGGACTTGAAAAATTACCATTTCCATCTCCAAATAGAATAGCAACATTATTCGTACCAGAGTTAGTTACAGCTATATCAACTTGATTATCATTGTTTAAATCATCAAGAGCAACCGATGTTGGATAAGACAAATCACCAGTTGAAAATATTGTATTCAACGGAAAATTTCCGAATGTTTGGCCTAAGGAAACTCCTATGGCGTTGAGTTCATAGTATGCAATAGTCATATCTAATTGATTATCATTATTAAAATCACCGAGAGCAACAGTTCTTGGATGCGGAGAAGTTCCAGTGGAATAGGTATTTTCACGTATACCAGTCATATAAGTAAAACCAAGAAAAATACCTATTACACTAGTATAGAAATTAGAAACGACAATATCCAGTCGATTATCGCTATTAAAGTTACCAACTGCAACCGAATGTGGACAACTATTGCTACCAGTTGAATAAGTTTCTTCATCCTGCATTGTACCGTCACCGTTTCCTTTAAACACTGCTACATTAGCAGTTTGACAATTAGCAACCACGATATCCAATTTATAATCATTATTGAAATCTCCAATGTTTATCGACTGTGGTTGAGAACCACTGCCAGTTGAATAACTCACTGGACTAGCAAATGTACCATTACCAAAGCTTAGAAAAATATCAATAGCAAGATTGAAGTAGAGAGAAACGATTATATCCAGTTGACCATCATTATTTAGATCACCAGTGACAATACTATTTGGTCCAGATCCAGAACCAGTAAAAAAGAACGTCTGATCTGTAAAAGTACCATTACCGCGTCCAAAAAACACGCCTATGCCAGAAAAATGAAAGTTGGCCACAGCAATATCTAAATAGCTATCATTATTAAAATGACCAGTAATAGCACTTTGTGGTGCAGAATTAATACCAGTTGAATAAGTTGTTTGAGTCGAAAAACTACCATTACCAAAAGCAAGAAAAATGCCGATATTGTTTGTACCAGAATTGGTAATTATAATATCGAGTTGGTTATCATTATTTAAATCTGCAACAATTACACCGGCGGGTTGAGAACCAGAACCAGTTGAATATGTTATTTGACTTGAGAAACTGCCGTTACCGTATCCTAGAAATATACCAATATTGTTATCCAGCATATTGGATACTACCATATCTAATTGATTATCATTATTAAAATCGCCAGTAGCAACGGAATTCAGACCTAAACCAGTTCTAGTCGAGTAACTAGCTTGAGTTGAGAATGTGCCATTTCCAAAACCCTTAAATATACGTACCTTACTCGTAACGAAATTAGTAACGAAAATATCTGTTCGACTATCATTATTGTAGTCAGAAACAATCACGGTATATGGACCAGCATTGGTACCTGTTGAATAAGCAGTTTGATTTGAAAAACTATAGATTCGATATGTGAGAATAATATCAATATAGTTATGGTCAAAGTTAACAACCGCAATATCCGATAGATCATCATTATTGAAATCACAAGTGGTAATAGAGAACGGTGTATAATCAAAGTCAGTGAAAAATATTATCTGATCAGCGAACAATCCATTTCCATAACCAAAAAATGCACCTAGATTATCTGTACCATAATTAGCTACAATGATATCAAGGTTGTTATCATTGTCAAAATCAGCAATGACGATTGATTGTGGAAAAGAATTATTGCCAGTTGAATATTTTGTTAGTGTCGTAAAAGTACCGTTTCCAAATCCCAAAAGAATGCCGATATTGTTCGAACCAGAACAAGCAACAACAATATCCATATGAGTGTCATTATTTAAATCATTAATGGCAACTGAATATGGATGGGAATTAATACCTGTGTTAAAAATAATCTGGATACTGAATTCCATATTGCCACGTCCAAAATATATACCAATAGTATTAGTACCATAATTAGCCACAGCGATATCAAGGTTATCATCATGATCGAAATCAGTAACGGCAAGTGCATACGGAATAGAGTCAAAGCCAGTAGAAAATGTTGTCTGACTCACAAAATTACCGTCACCAGTTCCTAGAAGAATACCAATGCTGTTAGTACCATAGTTAACTACAACAATATCGAGTTGTGTGTCTTTGTTAAAATCTCCTACGTCAATCCATCGTGGACGAGAAGATCCAGTGGAAAAAGTACGTTGAGATGCGAAAGTACCATTGTCCATTCCAAGAAAGATTCCAACACTATTGGTACCAAAATTTGCCACAGCTATGTCTTGTCGTTGATCATTGTTGAAATCGCCAACAGCTACTGCATACGGAAACGAATCAGAACCCGTGGAATATGTTTTTTGATCATCAAATGTATTATTTCCTTGTCGAAGAAATATTCCTATGTTGTTGCTGCCTGAATTCGATACAACTATATCAGGATGACCATCTTTGTTAAAATCACCGATAGAAATAGAATATGGACGAGAATCGTCATCAGTTGAACTGCGTGTTTCTGACTTTAAAATATATCCACATATTTTGTCTAAATAAAGGAAGATATTTAATTTAGAATAGAATAAAATTCATTTATTTCTTGTCGATTCTAAAAACATTAACGTATGCTAGTCTTCAATCGACTTTTTCAACACATTATTTAACGATCACTTTCGAATAATAATACATATAACAGCTATTAACCCAATCAGCTTAAATGTATTCTTTCCAAGATTGTGCGAAACAATCTCACTTCAGTGTTATCTATTCTAACAATATTTAAAAAATATAATAATAGATACATACTTGCTGGTTTTGGTGTACTGTAATAAACTATCAAAATCCCAATCAACATCGCTATACTTGTAAAGCCAGCAAAACACAAAATGCTTCTAGTTGTGTGAGACATGCACGAAATACAAGATGTTCTAACAGAAACGGATTTAAAATATCATTAATGTTCAAAAAATAAGAAATTATACTTAGTTACTGAAGTTGTTTTAGAATTATCACGATCATTATTGATAATCTTTGATTTGCTTACTGAAATCTCATTATCATCTACGTTTTCTGATGGTAAGATATCGATATCGTTTTCTGATGGCAAGCTATCAATATTGTTTAAAGTCATTTCCATCTACAATTTAAAAAAAGTATACTTATAAGCATAAATATATTACATCATTCTTTAAATAACGAAATATTCTGCACTTGAATCGACTGAAAAGTTCGTTATCGATTATGTATTGATTTCTACCTTTAAAAATATATTTATACTCGATATTGACGTTATTATATTCATGTTTTATTTTCTTTTGTTAGGCTTTTTTTCTAAATCATAAGATAATTGATCACAAGATATAAACAACGCACAAACGAAACATATTTGCGATGTTTTTGATGATCATATATAATGAGAAATTGACGAAAAAGAAAACGATATGTGATGTCGTCAGTAAATATTATGACAGCTAAAAATTGTTATTAATCACTAGTATGATTGTATTCTTTTTAAACCCATGCTTTCTTTAATATCTATAATAAATGTGAATGAAGAGTTACCTTTTTTTCGTTATTTATTACTGTGATGCAATGACTTATGAATCATTGCCGATAATATCTATTCAGTTGCATTATTTTTGCACTATTAGATTCTCTTTCTCGTATGATATTTTTTGAATATTTTGATACGGATTATATTTTGTATTTATCAGTAAAAGACAGCATGAACAGCATATATTTTTTGCATACTGAAACATCTAGACATATTGAAGAAGTATCTTCGAATAAAATGCAAAATTATTCTACCATTTTGCCAAAAAAAAGATAAACGAAAAAAAAACGATTTCAATTCGAAAGCTGATGTGTTGTATTTTAATCGTATTATATGAAAAAAGAATACATATTTGTATTGTTATAATGAAGTCTAATCTATTTCAATTATAACTGTAAGTTGGACAGACGGTTATATATATTAGACACATCAATGTAAAGTCCATTACTTTTGTCCTATGAATTCATATTGACGATTGTTATGTCAATATAATGAGAACGATAAGTACACTTGTTATTTTTTTGAACATATTCAACTATTTGTGTCTTATCAAAGACTTTTACCTTAAATCCTATCTCATCTGAAGGTCAACGAGTATGATTATATATTTAATTCATTTCGTTTGTTTGTTATATTCTCGATAGTTTCATTGTTCGTAACCAAGAATAGAAAAAAAAGATAGGCGAATAAAATTTCAAATGTATCTTTTGATTTTTTTAGTGTACAAGCACTTTTTTCTGTTTTCTCACGTTGATCAACCATATATAAAACGGTATATTCTTGAGTAATAATTCGTTTTTTTTATGTGATTTGTATTTTTCTACCTAACTTAATGCGCACATGTTTTTTTCGAATCAAACTCATACTACCTTTCTTTTTGTCGACCATACGTGTATCGTCCCTGTTCTAAACGACTACAATTTCGACTTTCGAAATCTCAATATTCGTCTCCAAAACTCTCATTTAAATAGTTCATATTCAACAAAATTTGAATCTAATTTTTCATCATTCCTTCCCAATTTACACGCATTGGTATTAGAATTTTTCACTGGTGAACAATTATCTATGTTTACCGACAGAGTCAAAACTCTATGAAAATATCTACCTTGCTAAATGTATATAAGTATCTCCGAGACTTTATATTATTTAATCATATTGTTTATCAAAACTAAAATGATGAATCTTTGAATGAATTGTAAAATTTCTTTTTACGTTAATTACGATATTTATTGAACTTGGAAATCGTTATTTAAAACAACGAATATATATGTATATAATCAATAAATCCTCTTGATTAGGTATAAATGTTAATGAAAACATAAAATTCACAAACGGATACAATAACAAAAAAATATAATTTTATTCTTTTTTTGTTTCATCATCATTTAATGCTGCTTTAGCAATTTGTTCAGCTAAGCGATCTGCATTTTCTCCTGTTTCATTCGGTGCAGTTGATAGATGTTCTTTAGCTTTTTCTAACGATGTACCTTCGGACTCGAGTAATTTATTAAAATCGTCCTAAAAATATTAATGTTTTTCGAGAAAATGAAATTTACAAATAATCAATCTCACCTCCCAACCAAGTAATTTTACTAGTTCAGTAACACCTTCATCACATGTACTTTGATGAAATACATCACGACGATTTGCTTTCGTGCCATATAATAATGAACCAGATGCCTAAAACAAAAAACGATAAATACCATCAGAAATTCAAACTATTATTATTTACATTTATTGCATCCATTGGTGATTTTGATTTACCAACAGGTTCTCTATTAATAAGAAGACGTGGACAATCTTTATCAACACTAAAAATAAATTATTAAAGAAATATCTTATATAAAATAATAATTTCTTATTCATACAATGTTTGAAGACGATTAAATGGTGCAACTTGTAATGATGTACCAATAATAATCAAAAAATCAGCTTTATCAAAATCCTAATAATACAAAAAAAATTCTAATAATAAAAAATTATTATTTATAACTTACGCTATTTATACATTCATGAAATCGTCGAGGAAGGCCTTCTCCAAAAAAGACAATATCTAATTTAAAATAGATTTGATATAATTCGAGATACTATTAAAATATAATTTACCTGGCTTAATAATTCCATCGCATTCTTTACAACGTGGAATTTCATCTTTAAATATAATTTCTAAACACAAAAAAGATCATTCAATTTTTATAAGGTTTTTCGAATGTGATGATATATTGATTTGCAAGTTCTTGCTCCAAAAATCAGATTATCAAAAACCTGTCTCGTAGAGTCTATAATAGACTACTACAGAAGTCCAGTAATTAACATCTCAGCCAAAAATAGAGTCGTGTGTTTTATCTAAAGTACGGCGGTTCCAAAAGCGCGGTTCCGGTTCGGTTCCATTTTTTTGTAGCTGCCGTACTCTAATTTTATCTGATTAGTAAACACGATAGACGAAATAGGGGTAAGGGTAAAAACGCAAATTAAATATTAACCTTTAACAAATTCTAAATCATATTCTTTTCGACAATTTAAACAATGTGATGTAAAGAATGTTCCATGTGCTTCAACAATTTTGTCTGTCGGTACACCAGCAACACGTTCCAATGAATCAATATTCTATAATAATCAATATATATATAATTTGTTAATTATAAACTAGTTCATATATCTACTTGTGTAAATATTCTTAATAATTTATTTTTTTCATCTAATAATCGAAGGAAATAATGCGTTGGTGTTGGCTAAATGAAATAGAATTAAATTGAATAGTTGGTATTTTTGTAAAATAAACTTACAGTAAATTTTTGTGGATAAAGTTCTTTAGCAAGTAAAAAGAATGGTTTAGGATTTGTCTGAAAATTTCGAAATAAAATTACTTCTTATTTTTCATAGAAATTAAGTTTTTTCACCAACTCGAAAGAAATCCAAATGAAAAACGGCTTCTGGAAATGGTAAATTATATTTTTCTAATTGAGAATAAAGTCCAGTTTCTGGTGAACGAAAATCAGGTATACCAGCACTTGTTGATATACCAGCGCCAGCCATTACAACAATATTTGAACATTTACTCATATATTCAGCTGCGGTTTTCAAATCAAATGCTGTTAAAACAGGATCTTTAGCTGCCGGCTCATCAGATGATTTTAGCGAACCAAATAAACCCGAAAATTGACTCATTACTAAATTATATGAAAAAGTTTTTTATTCAAAATATATTTCATTTTAATTATATACATTGTTGTAGCATAGTAGCATCATCTTCATCATCACTTTTTGGTTTATCCGTATTATCAGCTGGTTTTTTGTTTGATTCTAAAGTATATGTAATCTTTTTATTTTTCATTGAAATACTCAAAGAAATAACATACCAGCCATGAAAGATGTGTTTCGTTGTTAAAAATAATTTAATCTAGAAAGTATAATCTGACTTATTTTAAAAGGAAAATACTAAATATCTGTAATTGTTTTTTCGAAAGACTGTACAACACTTAAATACACTAAGAAAAATGAAACATATAATTTTTAAGAACCATGATTAGCAATTGAACGTGTTAGAAAAGTTGTTGTAGCACCAAGTTTAAATCGTTTCGAAGGTAATGTTTGACCTACAAAAGACGAAAAATCTTTATTAAAACATCGAGAAACAATAATTGACGTACCGCTATGTTTTGATTCTATTTCATCATTCTGATGAAGTAAATTTGTTGATCGTCGAAGTTCATCATCAAGAGTTAAAAGTTGTACTTTTAGACATTCTTGTTCGTCATTTTTTGGTGTTCGTTTCATTGCATTTGCAATAACGATTTCGTTTGATGTTATTTTGTTAGTATCAACTGATTTCGGATCATTTTTATGTGTCATTTTAGCAAATGGATTTATCAATTTATTTGTTATATTTGATACTTTTTTAGTTATGATTGCTGTTTGTCGTTTTAATAATGATTTTGGTATACTAAGTCTCTTAAGACGATCATTACCAACAAGGATTTTTTTTTGTAATGCAATCGTATCTATAAAAAATACATTTTATTTGATAAATAGCATAGACAATCGAGAATACTACCGGAAAGTGATTTGATCGGTCGCATTCCATGAGATGGTGATGGTGAAACTATTTTTGAACATGAATCAAGTAATGTCTTGATTTTGTCATTACTATTAATCGCTTGGATTCTTTTTGGTGTCTTAATAAAATATAAAAATATTTAAAAACTAAAGATGAATTATATACAAACCTGTAAAACCTGTATCATAGTATGTTCGTCAGGATATTTTTCATTGATAATTGTTGATTCATTATATGAAGAATCTATATATAAAATTATGATTAAAATTAATAGATATCACAAAATAGTATTAACTAACGATCATTAAATGAAATTCGAGATAATAATGCTGGTGATAAACTACATTTAGATTGTGGATTTAATGGAGTTGATTGTTTAATTCCAAGCCAATGATCCATATTGCAACTCGAATCTAGAATTATGATTAAATCATTGTGTTTTCATTAATACAATAATATATACCTGTAGATTGTCGAGTTAATGGTAAATTCTCCTTGAATAAAATTAAAAGATAAATTATTAAATCAATCAATTTCTGAATAATTACTCTCTCATCGAATAATTGAGCTTGTCTAATCAAACAAGCACGATCAAATTGATTAGTTATACCAAGTTTACGTAATTCATCTTCACCAACATTTAACAACTCTTCAAGAGTTGCGAATCGATCTGTCAATGCTGTAGCATATCGTAAAAGTGTTTGATTATTAACCGATAAATCTGATTCTTGAAGAAATTTCAACCAAAATGACGTATCTGTAGGAAATAAATGATGCAAGTAATTTCATTGGATAAAGGTAGTAAAGAATAATATTTACCTGATGTCATTATTAAATATAAAAATTATACAACTATAAAAATATTCAGCAGACGATAAGAAACGAATACATGAAGAACGTAGCATCAATAGTCCGATTGTAACCAATTAAGAAGAATTCTATACAGAGGACGCTGTATAATGATCTAATACAATTCATAGTTAGGGTAGTAGTTTTTACATTAAAACTTTGATTATATATTTGAATTGTTGATAAAAGCAAAATAACTGTTTCAATAAGAACAGATTGTTCTATTTAATGTGTTTGCCTTTTCATTTATTTACAGGTATGCAACGAGAGTTTACTAACGTACAGCCTTTTATTATTTTGGAATAATAGATTTGATAAGCAGTATATGATCAAACAAAAGTTTTTGTACAATAAAAACTATTGAATAAGAAGAAGGTCACATGATGATCGTATATGGTACATACTGCTTCATTATGAACAGCTTAAAAAGTATCATCTAAGTTTGTTTGACACAAAAGAATAGAGCTGTATGTATATACGACTTTTCTCATTGAATACAGGCAAAATGCACAAATAATAGTACGTTGAACGTGATTTTTTTTTAGGATGTAAGAACAGACGTACTTTGAAAAGCTTTTGTTAGCGCTAAGAACAGCGAAGTTTCAATCGTGTTGTTTGATTGGTTCTCGTTTGATCAATGAGCAGACAAATATTTCTAAATTCATTATTTTTAATAGAATACATATTTTAAAGTTATTCTCAAATAGAATAAAACTGCGTATCTTTAAACTACCCATACGATAAAACGACACAGACATCATTTCTTTCTCATCACACCTGTATAATTAATTATCTGTATATTATGTTCTCTAACTTATACAAACTTTATTTATAACTCAAATGTATTTTTAAGAGAGTCTATGATTTAAAAAAAAACGCAAAATGTTTCATTTCTTGACAAACACTCTTATGGTCTTCCTTCATAATCTTATCTTAACATAGGTTAGAAGGTCATAAGTAATCTTTTCTTTCTTCTCGTTTAATAAAGATTCATTATTCTTTTTTCGTTCATTCTTATTGTTCTAGATAGATATTGAATTACAATCATGGATAGTCGATTTATCAATGTTGTTCTACTTGGCTCAGCATTTATGGTTTTATTTACAGCATTTCAAGCTACTGGCATGATATCAGTATAGATATTCTTTAAAAATTTATGATAATGAATATTTTTAAAATATTCTTTCTAGCAAAGTGCATTGGAAGGTGTTAAAAATGAAACAGTTAATGGAACGAGTTTTCATGGCAGTGGTTATATCAGGTGAGAATAAAAATTACTTTAGTGTAATGATTAGAGAAAACGATAAAAACAAACTGTAGAATCATTTTTATTCTGGTCATGTCTATGCAGTTTAACGCGGAGAACTACTTACAAGCATTGATTAAATTTTACATCTAAGTATTATCAAAACTTAAGCGGTCAAGGACAATGCTAAACGAGGGCATTCATGATGATTTATTCTGAGTTTTCCTCACAATGTATGTTAATTTCTTATATGAATTTTAGCATGGCTATTCTATATTCATTTTTCTCTTTAACAAATGTATTTGCACCTGCTATTGTAGCAATTTTGGGTCCAGCTGTTTCTATGTTCTTTGGTGGAACAACTTATTTGTAAATAAATAAAATATTTCTAATTTATTCTTTAATAATATACTAATTTCTAGTCTATATGTTGTTTCATTTATTTATCCAATGACATGGTCATATTATGTTATATCTATATTAATCGGTATAGGAGCAGCTATTTTATGGACAGCACAAGGAGTCTATCTAACAAAAAATTCTGATGATATGACTGTAAGTCGTAATTCTGGTATCTTTTGGGCGTTATTTCAAGTTAGGTAAGTTTATAGAATGATTTCCTTCGTTGTATATATTATATTTTGTTTATCTAAATAGTCTTCTATCTGGTAATATTTATGTGTTTGTAGCATTAAAAACTCAAATAATTGATCGTGCTACACGTATTCCATTATTTGCTGTGTTTTCAATTGTATCAGGTGCTGGTCTAGTCTTATTTATTTTTATTATATGGCGTTCATATGTTGAAAAACGTCGGGATAATATACCTCCTATCGAAGAACCGAAAAAAAGTACAGCAGCAGATATTGTTCAAACATTAAAAGTAGCTGTAAGATTATTAAAAACACGAAATATGCTCTTACTACTTATTCCATTTTCTTATACGGGTATATAATTACAATGAATATATATATATTTCATAATCTATATTGAATAACCAATAGGTTTATCAAATACATTATTTACAGGAGTTTTTGCAACATGTATCGGACATTATGTTAAATACGGAGGTAAAAAAAGAATATTATTTAAGAATACATTGATTTATTTCTATCTTATATAGATACTCGAAAACGACTGATTGGTTTACATGGTCTTCTTGTAGGCTGTGGGGAAATTTTAGGTAAATTTAACTATGAATATAGAAATAATGATTTTGTTTTACTTCTAGGTGGAGGATTATTTGGATTTATAACAAAGCCAAAAACTGCATCACAAAAAGCTTTAATGATTCTTGTTGGTTGTATTTTACATATGATATATTTTTATTCTGTATTTGTTAATTTTCCATTCGATTCAGCACAAAAGGAAAGTACTGAAAAACCATTCTTTGATTTTAGGTAAAATTATAATAAATAACAAAAACAAAGTAAAACATACTATTCTTTTCTAGTGCAACAACAAGTCAAGTTATTACATTTATTGGTTCATTTATTGTTGGTCTAGGTGATAGTAGTATGAACACTCAAGTAAATCGTCTTTTTATAGGAATGTATTTTTGAATAATTTTATTTTAGTTAATGAATATTTTAGCATCGCGATATAAACAAACGACTGCTTCAGCTTTTGCCATATTTAAACTTGTTCAGGTAAATATTCTTTCATCGTTTTTTTGAAATTATGTATGTATCTATTTACTTTCAGTCGTTGATGGCTGCTGTAGCATTTTTTTATGCAGGCGCATTACAAATTCAATGGCAAATATTGATTGTTGTGATATTTTTATTCTTTAGCACATTAGCTTTCTTTGCAGTTTTATTTGATGAAGAAAATACTGAAGGAATAGCACCTTTAGTAACGAATATAAGTACAGAAGAAGATGATGATGATACTGGCAATCGAAATTATTCATCTCTTGTTGAATCATAAAATATATGATGTTTTTCATATTTTTGATTATCTTTTTTTTGTATAATAGTAGCTGATGTGATTTTATAAAAAGTACTTTAAGTACGTATATGATTGATTTGATTTATGTTAATAAAAATCTTATGTATTATTTAACTGACAAAATTCTCTTTAGTTAAACATTCCTTCACATAGGAAAATCAGCCTAATTGAATATAAGAATTTAAAATTCGTCAAGGGCTAACCAAGAGTAAATCCAATTGTAAAGTTTGGCTGAATGATATATAGAATGTAATAGCGACCAAGATAAATAAATGAAGAACAGAATCTCATAGATTTATAAAAATCAACAAAACTTGATTACCATACAAGTTTTTTAAACTAAAGATAACATTGCAAACGGTACTTTTATCAGATAATATGATCTATTTTAATCATATTAATATAAATACAAGAAATATTCCAACCAACAAAAATAATCTGTATTGATAATATCGTCATAATGTTACAATCTATTTCGATAGAGAAGACAAAATGTTATATAATCGAGTGTTGAAGTACTTTTTCTGAGATCAAAATTTATAGAATAATATCCTTTACGCATCATAAATACATCAGCCGAAACGGCTAACGTGTCTGTGCGTTACTTTTTGCTGAACTTATAACACATAAATGAGAGCCCATAGAAAGCTAAGAGTTTGCTCTTCAAAGCCTAGTTGAGGTTCGTATGGATTTTGACAAGCACACTTTCGTATACAAAATAAGTTGTCTTTCAGTTTTTCACAATGTCTTCTATAAAGTCTATAAATGTAACAAAATGATGAAAACGGTAACGCACAGACATTTGGCCGACATAACAATTTAATAGTGAATCACGAATAGCTGATTCAACCTTTCGTTGGTTCAACAAAATGAACATTTCTTCTTTCTCTATCGTACATCAATAGTGAATCATCGAAATGCAAGTTATTCACTATATAGAATTGTATCCTATGAGATGTTTTATGATATGACATTTAAAAATAAAGCGAGAACATAGATATTCATCTTCTTTTGTTATTTTTATTCTGTTCTTTCGTTAAATATTTTGTTGTTGATTAACATCAAAATCAAGAAAAACAAAAACAACTTTTGTTTCATAAACGTTAGATTAATTATCTATGAAGCGGCTGTTGTTGTTGTATTTTTGGCTGAACGTTTTGTGCCAGTTGTTGCTGCTGTTGTTGTAGCGGTTGGTGCAGCAGTTGTTAAAGCCATACGTTGACCACGAAGTAATGCTGATGCACGACGAAGAGCAGCCTGAAAATAAACAAATTTTATACATATAAATATATATTAGTAAATTACAAACTAACCATTTTAAGATCTTTACGATAACGTTTATGACGGATTGTTCGTCGGATACTTGATAATGTACGACGTGAATCCTTGGTAAGTTTAGTTTTAAGAAAACGTTTGGCTGGTTTTTGCATGTCTGAACGAACAAAAAAAGTAAATTCTTTTAAAATGATAAAAGCCAAAATTCTTACTTTTGATACTGCCAGTTGAAAAAACAACACCTTTACCATCTTTAACGGCTTCAACACCAACAACTTTTGGATGAATAAGACCATTATAACGGAACGTGTTACGATTTTTCAAATTGTTTGGTTCCTTAAAGAATTAAAAATTAAAAAATAATTTCTAAATAATTAACAAACAGTTGTAAATGTGCCCAATTTTCGTCTGTGTAAAAAGGATGAAGTGTTACGAATAACCATCCATTGAACATTTGATGAAGCTTGATCGAATCCTAAGTAATTATTATATAATAAATAAAAAACATTTTTTTCTTCTATTATCATAAACAAAAATACTTACGTCCACGTGCCATAATTTGGGCAATGAAATATGATTAAAAAATAATCTAATCTAAAATAAGAGAATGATCAAAAGTTTTGTTAACTTTTATTATTTCGTGTCTTCTAAATAAATAAAAATAAACAATAAAAATAGAAATTTTCTTTCTCATTCATGATTGGTGATTATCGTTGGCCATACTGTAATGCATGTTTGCGTACTTTAGTTTATCGTTAATGCACTAGTGTGTCAGATGTATATTGTTGTTAAAAGACGTCGCTAACGTCAATATAAAATATTTTATTAATTCTTATTTTGTATTTTAAGACACGTATAATTATCAATGGATGATTTCGAAAATATGACGCATTAAAAGGACACAAGAACGAAATGTTAAAACAAGAATTTGATGGTGAGTTAGAAAAATAATCTTATTTTTCATTTCTATTTTTTTCATTCATCATCAATAAATATTTTCGATAGTTAGATTTACATTTACGTTATTTCATGGCTATACTTATGTTTATCTTAATATTACTTCTATTTATTTTCACATGCGCCTATAATCCTGGTACATCAACGAAAATAAATAATTCCAATATAACGAAAATTTCTAATGAACAACGTTATCAACATTATCTATATTTTCCACGATCGGAACGTTTACAATATCGTGAAAAAGCACGAGAAATGTTTCAATTTGGATATGACAATTATATGAAATATGCATTTCCACAAGATGAACTCGATCCAATTCATTGTCGAGGACGTGGACCTGATATTGAAAGACCGTATGAAATATATATATTTGCCATTCATTAATTTCTTCTTTTCTTCTATTCTATAGTGAAAATTATAATATCAATGATGTTCTAGGAGAATTTTCATTGACATTAATCGATAGTCTTGATACACTTGCTGTGATGGGAAATGTTTCCGAATTTCAACATGCCATTAAACTTGTTATTGATCATGTACATTTTGATAGAAATTCAACTATACAAGTATTTGAAGCAACAATTCGGTATGTTATAAAAATCAGTTTTGTTTTGAAAATACTTACTTGATTCTTTTAAAGTGTACTTGGTGCACTTCTTTCAGCACATTTATTAATTGTTGATCCATTACAACCATTTGGTAATTTAACAATACCAAATTATGATAATGAATTACTTGACCTTGCTCATGATCTAGCATCAAGATTATTACCTGCTTTTGAAAAAACTCCACATGGTTTACCATATCCACGTGTAAGTTTATTTTATTAGTATATGGTATGATAGATTTGGAATATTATATTTAGGTAAATTTAATGACAGGAATTGTTGATGGATCAAGAAATGATACATCAACAGCAGGTGCTGGTTCACTTTCGTTAGAATTTAGTATTTTAAGTCGACTTGTCGGTGATCCTGTTTATGAACAAGTTGCACGAAGAGCTGTTAAATCATTATGGGATAAACGAAATAATGTTACAGGATTATTAGGTTTGTTTAGATTTACTATAAAGATGAGAATTTAGTTTAGATTAAAAGATTATAGGATAATCAGAATTTAATATCCTAAGTAATTGAATTATTCTATTTCAGGCAGTGTGATTGATGTAAATAGTGGTGAATGGCTTGGTCAATTATCAGGTCTTGGTGCTGGTATTGATTCATTTTTCGAATACCTTTTAAAAGTAATTCAAATCTATCATAATCTTCTTCTAAATAATTTTCCTATTTAGAATTATATTCTATTCGGTGATGAAGCTGATTTACGAATGTTTGACGATGCCTATGAAAGTGTTACGCAATATCTTCGTCGAGGGTTAATATGATTTTAAATGTTTTTGTATATAAATAATTTTTTGCAAATAGTCGAGTGAATTGTATGGATGAAGATGGTATTCATCCAATGTTTGTTAATGTAAATATGCATACGGGACAGTTAGCAACAACATGGATTGATGCTTTACAAGCATCATTTTCTGCTGTACAAGTTTTACGTGGTGATATTGATGAAGCAATTTGTTTACATGCACTTTATTATTCAATATGGAGAAAATTTGGTGTTTTACCTGAACGTTTTAATTGGCAAATAAAAATGCCTGATGTTTTATTTTATCCATTAAGACCAGAATTTATTGAATCAACTTATTTTCTATATCAAGCAACAAAAAATCCATTTTATTTACATGTTGGTCGAGATATTTTAGATAATTTAAATACATATACAAGAGTCGAGTATGTCGAAAAACAAAACAAATTGTTTAATTATTCGATTTTTTTTTAAATAGATGTGGTTTTGCTACTGTACATGATGTTCGAGATAAAACATTAGAAGATCGTATGGAATCATTTTTCCTAAGTGAAACATGCAAATATTTGTTTCTGGTAAGATTAATTATTTTAAAAAATTCATAAAAACAAAATTTGTTTACATTTAGTTATTTGATGAAGAAAATTATTTAAATCAACATGGTGCAAATCATTATATATTTACAACAGAAGCACATATTATACCTTTAATGGCTAAATTAAGAAAAAAAATTATAAATTTCGATGAAATGACATCTATTAGTGAAAATCAAGAGAATGAAGGTGATAAACCAACTCATACAAGTGAACACGAATTAATAAATGTCAATAGAAATATTATCAAAGTCGAAACAAATCTTATTCCAATTAGAAAAAAACGAATTAATGAAACAAGTGTAAGTAAAATTTTATCACAAGAAGAAAAGCGCATATATTTTCTCATGCTAATAATTATATGATCAATATTCGAGTTCTGATGCGAGCGCTATTCAACTTTTAAGACTCATATTCATAGTCTCGATAAATAAGATATGATTGTGATGTTGATCTTGAAAGAATTGTCACTAGTCTTAGTCATCTTTATTTGAATATATATGCCATCGTTGGTCTTCGTAACTCTCTGTAGATGTTTTCTCTTATTTTATATACACTCCTACATAAATATTTATTGGAACAATTTCTCTAGAAATGAAACAAAAAATAGAGACTATGACAGTCGTGATACGAAAGGAAAGGAATCAATATTAGTCAAATATTTGTTATGATCTCGGGTAGAAAAAGAATCCTTTTGAATTATTTATTTCTATTCGTGATATACGATGGATTATCGAATCAGAGTTTCAAATTTTTACTCCTATTCTCTCATAATTCTTACAGTTTCTTTTTTTACAAATTATACCGAATAAGATCGTCTATTACGATTGTATCATTATTAATGAATATAGAACCGAGGAGAAAAAACAAATGCTGATAAACTCCAGAATTCATTTATAATATAGTGACGTATGAATATTTAATTCAATTCCTTTTTTTTCTATTAGTGTCGATCTCGCCCAATGTCTGATCGACATCAACTACCACTCAGTGCCAATCTACTCTATCAACTTGATGAAATGGTTGGTGTTATAGCAACTCAAACATAAATGCTCAAAAAACAAAATAACGCGAATGTTTATACGATCGGTGCTCATCTAAGAAATATTTTCATCTTACGGTTGATTTATTGTCTTTCAAAGTGTGAAGAAAGTTTTGTTTTTAGTCAGATATTCTTTCTATTTTCTTGTCTTTTTTTTCTTCTTTGTTGTTCCTATGTCGGTGTCTTTCAACAAATTTATTTATTTATTATATATTGTATATTTTATTGGGTGCTTATGACGAGAATCAGTACATAAGTTTGGTTTTCATTTTGTTAGATTAAAACAAAATTATGATTATCGATCAAGTATTATTAGGTTTAGCAGGTTTAGCTGCATCATTATATTCAATTTATGTTAAAAATCAACATAAAAAAAATCCGAAATATAAAGCCTTATGTGATTTGGGACCAAATGCAAGTTGTACTAAAGTTTTATCAAGCAAGTAAGAAAATATTTTATTCGATTTTATTTCAGAAAATAACTTGATTTATATTAGATATGGTACTGGATTTGGAATTGCAGATACTTTATTTGGTAAAAATAGCACACTAAATCAATCAAATAGTAATTTAGGTACTATTTTTTATACTTTACAAATTATTTTTGGTATGAATATTAAATTTTTTCTTATTTGCTTATTGTTTTATTTTTCTAAAAGGTTTATTACCAATACCATTATTCAGTAAATTGGCTTTAGTTTCATCGGTATTAGCTTGTATTGGTTCACTTTATTTGGCTTTTATTTTGGCTTTTATTCTTAAAGATTTATGTCTTGTATGTATTACAACATATATAATCAATGCTGGTCTTCTTTGGTCAAATTTTCGAACGGTTTATTCCAAACACTGATAAAAATAATCTCGCAACGTCTTCTTTGTTTTTTCGATACTCATTTACTCGTCCATATATTATCAAATATTAACGCATGTTTTGACAAATTGTTATTAATCCTGAAATTTTTTATTCAAACTAGATACATATAATAAAAGTTTGACTTTGATAAAATCAAAGATTAGTTATTGTATAGACAAAAACAATAGCTACCAATTGGAATTTATTCTCTTGTTGTGAGATCATATTTTACAAATAACATGAGTATAAAGGTTAATGAAATAGTTCATATCGAACAAAACAATGATTTGCATATGATTATTAATCAGTTAGTATATTGTAGAATAATAAAGGATATACAGCCATCGAATGCATTGACTCTGTATATGTTTGAACTGGAAAAATTAAGAAATTTTATTCGTAACATCGTTGTTGTTCTCTTACGATGTTTGCCCTTGAAACAATGAGAAACTTCAATGTGCAAATTTTATCTATAATTACTTCATTCTATATACAAGTACTTGTCGGCAAGATTGAACTGTCGTACATTCAATTCTATTTATGAATGTTGATCGTAACAAAAGGCAGTAATTGATACTGTAAATTATATTTCAATATATATATTTATTCACGTTTCTAAATTTGTATAGAATGCATGTGTTTTACTTTAAATAAAAATAGTTTGCATTTT